TAAAACGATCTCTTTATGTAAACTATATAAATGTAGCAAAAAAGTAATATTGTTAAAGACATGTAAAATACCTAAGTTAGTTGTGTATAAAGTAAAATTATGGATAGGGTCCAACAATGTGTACAGATTATTTATTATTTTATGTATTAAGGAATCTATTTCAAAATATAGTTACTTTAATATTGCTGAATTTGTTTCATTCCAAGACAAAGATAAAAGGTGCCCAAAATTCACGGAAGAAATAATTTTGGTAAAAAACACAGTATTTTAATTACAAATTTTAAATTTTTTATTGATTCATAAAATATACAGTATAGGGTTTATGTATGGGATAGCATATTGAGTAAATGTCTTTTGCCAAAATTTTCCATGACTTTTTTACATAAATACAACATAATTTCATTGACACAGCCCTCAATTTCCTCCTTCAAGGCACCCACGCCATGGATTTGTTGGTATAAACTTTAGACTTTAAAAAAACCCAAAGAAAATAGTCTAAAGGCGTTAAATCGCATGGCGGCCAATTCTGATCACTAAAACGGGAAATTACAAGACCAGGAAATAACTCATGCACTAATTGAACTATTTCTCGGGCTGTATGGTATGTGGCACCGTCTTGAAACCACATGTCGTCTACATTTATATCTTGCAATTTAGGCACAAAAAACTGGATTATTGCCTCCATCCCAAAATCCTCACCAAATAGTGACGTGTTGTGGATGCATTTGTTTTTCAACAATCACCTGTGGTTTTTCTGAACCCCAAATGCGACAATTTTGTCGGTTAACGAAGCTATCAACATGAAAATGAGCATCATCGCTGAAGATGATTTTGTTCGAAAAATCAGCATTTAGTTGTTCCATAAACCATTCAATGAATTCTCTTCGCTTTGCGTTGTCAGTGGACTTCAGTTTTTGAGTCAATTGGACTTTGTGAACAATTATTTCTTGACTACCATGTTGAATTGGTGTTCCTAAACTCTCAGCAACGCTCTCTTCGATGTTTTGTGTTGAACGACTTGTTGTAGTACGGCCAGAGTGGTTAAGATCACTAATTGTTCAGTTGATAAAGTTAAATCACTATTGCGACCATCTGTCGTACGAAAATTGAGAACTATAACTGCCAAACCTTCATTATTTTTAAAATATTGCTTAACAATGAAAACGAAAACGCACTATTCGTTCATGTAGCGCTCCATTTTTAATAACCCTGAACTATCAGTAATCGCCATTGCCCACAAGGCAGGGCCCGAGAACTTATACTTGAAAATATGGGGACACTCTGGGAACCACGTGACTTGAGATGGATATACAAGTTGGGGAAAGAGTCTATAGATGTCGCCACAAAGATTTTGTAGAATAAATTTTGACAATTGCAATTATGAATCATTCTTGTTCATGTTTATTGTTTATTGTTGGTTAGGTTTGGCGAGTGTTGGTGTGTGTTTTATTTGTGTTTTTAGTGTGTTTTATTAGATATTTCATTCACATTTATTTATATAACAATAATGTCTGATCATCATATAATCACATTTTTTTATTAATAATAAAATGTTGTTTTTTTGTTTTTTTTAATAAAAAATGTGATCAGAGGTAGGTAGTTTTTTTTATGGATATCAACACAACGAAAAATTTAAAGTTGCATAATAAATCTCTGTTACAAGAATTAATCAAAGATTGGTTAGTAAAATTATTTACTTGTAATATTTTTTTATTCACCGTGAAAGCTAATACAATATAGAAAGTACTGAAACTCTATAATCATTTTCACTCTTTTTTTTTCAAAATATGTACTGAAATTTGAAATTTTTTCAACAAACATTTTAAAAAGTTACAGTATCAAAATTATTTCTTATTTTAAGTAGGAAGACTATTAGAGCATTTAAAAGTGTCTTTAATGCTTGAGTGATTTTAATGCTTTTTATCAAATGTACTTATTTTCTTATGGTGACAAAAAAATTATCTACGTGAAAATTATTTTACAAAACCAATTTATGAGTGATCTGTGTAGGGTGAGATTTGTTATGTAATTTTAAATTTAGCGGCGGCAGAATACCTAAAACAAATATTGAGTAGGTAGGTATATAGTTGTAGAGCGTACAACTAGATGGCGCTTGCATCTTTTACCGGCTACAGGTAATTTAACTCACTGTATTACCGATAATTCCTAGAAAAGGAAAGCAATAGAAGTTGGAGAAAGTGTCATCAGTTAGCGCTGTTAATGACCACGAAATCTGTTCAAGTTTCCTATCTATAGTATCATTTATCTAGGCCACAAGGTGAGATTTGGTTGTCGTCTCTAGAGGGCAACACTGTCCACACACATTCTTTAATTTTGCATAATATGCCGACAGTTCAACTATCTACTTTGTTATCGTACACTGTTTTGTGGTTGACACTGTGTTAAATAAAATAGTTTTTGATTATTATTGTTCTGTTCACTATGAATGTGAAATATAGAATAATTTGAATAAGCGTTAATACCCTGTGCAGGTGCCAACATGACCTCTGTTAAACTTTTTACTTTACAAGATATTAAATCTAAAAATAATAAGACTAACACACGTCGTTAATTTAAAATAGGGGGTAGGGTCCCAAAAAGACCCGTACCACCGATATTCTATTAAAAAGAGTTTTAGATAATATAGTCCAGGCGCTATCTGTTTTAAAAAGGATATACTTGGGTAAAAAGCATATGATCGGAGATTTTTGTTTTAACGGCTTCTAAATAACGTCAGAAATGATAATTTTTCTATGCAAATAAAAAAAATGTGGGCTTAATTGTTATTGCAAAAAAGTATAAAAAAATAGCAAAAAAAAAATCATTTTTTTCTTGGATTTCTCGCCGACAACTTAGCAACTATTCATTTTAGACAAAAATGGAAGAGGAAAAAAAGTTTTGTAATTAAATTTTGAACAAGACAGAGTTAGTTGCAATTCGAAAAAATAATAATTATTATTGCAAAAATCGGAAAAATCATTTAAAAAATTGCAAAAAATGCTAGTTTATTTGATATTTTTTTTCAGACACTTGAATAATACCTAGGATCTTCATACTTTTCCCATTTAAACTTCTTAGTGCATAGAATCATCACACCAAATTTCATCCAATTCGGTTCGATAGTTTTTACATAATAATTGTCTAATTTTTAACTTTTTTTTAAATTAAAAAATTTTTAAAATCAAATTTCTAAAAATCTAAAGCCTTTGAATACTTGAAAATTTCACCACAAAAAGAAGAGCACTCAAACTTTAAAATGCATTTTGAAAAATTCAAATCGGACGATTAGGTGAGCCGTGGTGATTGTTTAAACATGTTCGCAATTTTTAACGCTTATAAACCATTGCAATAATTTAATATTTTTTTCAATTTTTTTTTTATTTTAAAATATGGTTTGAAAATACTCAGAAAGACGAGTATTTTAAAAAGAAAAACCTGATGATCCGTCTATTATTTTCGGAGTTATAGCCCGTTAAAGTTAACCCTTATTTACAGCAAAACTGTAAGAGTATAAGGGCTGTTTTTTGAACTAATAGGTTTGTCATTCCGAGTACTTTCCAGATATAAATTTTCAAAATTTGCAATCACGGGCGTCCCATTTAAAAGGTCACTCAAAGATATTCAAGACCGCGTGAAATCAATGAGGTATCAGTGGTGGGGGAGCAAACACACAGCTACTCCGATCTGAATTCTCGAGTTTAAGGGCCCCATATTCTTTAAATAGTGTTTTCCTCAAAGACAAATAATTTCAAACATTTAATAACTGAATATTCTAAAGCTTATCAAATAATAGGAATGTTATGTCATGCCACCTGAGTATTTTCAAAGACGCCGCAGTAAAACGAATAAACATGTGCAAAAAACGATCAAACCATCAAGGTTTTAGGTACTGAAATCTACGAAAATACTAACTTTTTTATATATAACTCTACATGTAAATATTCTTATAACATTTACTTGCTTAGTCCTACATATAAAATTGTTTACTTTTATTTATAAGTACGTGAAAATAATTCTTAAAATGTGGGGTTAGGGTAACAGCAAACGCATGTTTTACAAACGCTTTTTTCTTAGTTATTATTTTATTTGAGTAAATTTAAATGGTAACAATGAATAAACAAAACATCAAGGATTTTATTTTTGTGCTTACTTTTGTTCTACACGTTTTACTTTTAAAGATTTCAGTACCTAAAAACGCCAGAAATTTCACTATTTCTCGGCCAGGAATATGGCCACTTTAGAACTGCGACGCTCGGAAAAATTTCACTTATCTCAGTTTGTAATGGACCAATTCCGATGATTTTTTTTAAGTCGATGTCTCGCAACTTAAAAAATTCAATTATCATATTTTCAACAACCTTTTATTATTAATTAATAGACTTAAACGTAAAGACTTCTCTATTACAAATATCATCAGGAAGCTGTAGTTTAATTTTTATAGATTATACACGCCACACCCTGTATATTTTTTAAGTCACATCTTAAAAGTTTCAGATTTAATAATTCACAAAAATATTTTAAATACTGTTAATGACTATTTTCAATGTATTTAATATTCAACACACTCAAAATACTATTTTAAATACTAACTAATTTATATTTAAAATACTTTGCCAAAGAAGTATTTTGTTCTTAAGTATTTTAAAATACTTTCGTATTAGTATTTTTTTTATTTTAAATACACTTTGAAAGTATTTTGCCCAGCTCTGCCAGAGTTCACTATCTGATGACGTCTATCTTGGTGCCCTCTACATGTCGTCTGACTAAACTCTCTTACAAACCTTTAGACAGTGACGAGCTTTACCAGCAATCCTCTTGTCCGCTCTCCTATCCTTAAGGTCGCAAAAAAGGTACGCATCAATGAAACAGCGGCTAGAGAAGTAGGTCTTTATGTTACTAAATATAAACAAATAAATAGAAGGTGTAATAACAACCTTTTTGTTCACTTACATTATTTACAAACATCACAGAGTTAACTATGAATACACAATGGTTTATTTTACTGCCTAGTAGTTGAGTGTGTACTTCATTCCTAGTCCTCACTCTCAATTCTAGAAGTGGATGGAATGGTAGCAACCGAACCAACTCGGTCACCCGATCTAGTTGTGTGTGACAAAACCAAACAATAAATATTGATAACATTTGGCACTTTCGGGTGTATTTAGGATGGACGTACAGCCGCGGACAAAAAAAACGACCCGAGACGTTCAAAGGGGGGATGTTTTGTTGTTCGCAGCTGTACCAGCCAAACAGACCTCAGTTAACTCAGCATGCACAGTACCGACGCCTCATTTTCTGTCGTTATTATATTTAAATTTTTATTTATACATTAAATTTTAACTCACATTTACATTAAAACTTTAATAATTAGTTTACAATAGTGCATCTTACCATAAGGATTTTTACAGCGCAAATGTAATAACAACAGACGATTTTTCTGCCTCTTGGAAAATATATTATTGTTCTATATGTAAGTGCACAGTGGATAGGTCTAGGAAAAAAATTATCTGGTGTAAAGTGTCTGAAATAGTATACAAATACGATCTAAAACTGTATCACAAATTTTATTACATATTAAATAAATTGAGAATGTCATCAAGTTCATACCCAACCCTCATCTGGAGTTACCTAGTACTTCTCGCCTAGCACTGGGTGATATGTATATAAAACGAGCAACCTCCTCGAAAATCACCAAAAGTTCAACATCGGTCATAACCTGGTGATGTTCCTGATCTTCCGTATGTTCTCCAAGCGGACCTCCAGCCAAGCGAATGGCACCACGGCTAAAACCATGAAGAACGCCAAGCCGTACAGCTTCCAGTAGTTGCAAAGCAAGCCGTGGAAAGCGAAGGCTATGGAGAGTCCCAGGAATTTGAAGAATGCCATGTTGGCGAAAGCGGATTCCCAGTTGTCTGCGTATTGACCGGTCAGTAATGCTAAAACGGATAACAAGTAAGAACAAATGGTGTGGAAGTCAACGAAACTAGACCCTTACTAAAATTGAGCATTTCCCAGATGGAGTTGCAGACACCCCAAGATGCCGAAATGACGTAGAAAAGGGCGGGGTCGTCTTCAGTTGGCTTCCAAAGGTTCAGTACCATCAAGAGGCAGCCATGAAACGTGAATCCTACAGCTGTAACATGAAAATACCGAACTGAAAAGATCTTGGAACTAACTGTCTTTTGGTGGACATACTGTTGCTGACGGGAACTTAACCTCCAAAATTTAAACACAGTTCGACGACAACAAAACAGATTTATTGTCACTTGAGTTGTCACAATATCCTGGATCCTAGAATTGTTACAACTTTGGTGATTTGCCATTGGTGTTCTTCAAGTCGTACAACCACATTTTTTCATTCTCCTGGGACCTGCTGTTGTTGACAGGTAAGTTATACCTACCGTGTCTCGATCCTGTCTCTTCCCATCTGCAATTATTGTTCCCATACCTTTTTATGCACAAACTTTATCCAGTCTTTTAAATGGTTGAGATAATCATCTAAAATCATCGATTAGCAATAAGATCTATTGGCATACATAACTATGTGCCAAAAATGACGCTGACTAGTTCCTTATCGGTTTTGATAGAGGAAAGTAGGTGTCCTAGTTGAACTGCTTCTGGGTGATGGTAGTTCTGAGGAAGTTTTCAATGGTTTGGTTGAACCTCTCGATCGTTCCATCTGACTGTGGTGTCTCATTGGAATCAAGTCTTACTTATTTCAAAACGACGTTGACGATTCCACTTTCAAGTGCTTGAAGAACTTTCAGGATCAATTTCAGAGATACATTTTGATATATCATTGAAATTAAGACTCTTCCATACTCCTTTTAACAGACCATTCTCCACTACTAAGGACTTCCATATTGCACAGCAAGTTTTCCAAATGGAGATTCGTCGGAGACGTTCGGCTTAACCATGTTTTTAATTTTCCAATAGAAAATGGACCCAAAATATATATATCTTCACTTTGTTCTTTAACAAGAATCTTATTGTTCCATTAATCGGGAATTTTGACAAACAAATTACACCTATTTCCTTAATTCTTGTTGCAGACAGTGCTTGGCATGACTTCTTCAAAGCGTTGTCTTCTATCCTGGTGACCATGTTGAAGATGGACTTCACTATATCTCATTTCTAAAGGAATCTTCAGTAGTTGATAATCCTTTTGTTTATCTTCAGCTACCAACCTTAAAACTTCGAACTCTTCGAACTGTTTTAGGTAGAAACTCCAAAATACACCTTTTTGTCATATGTCCTTACTGATGATGGAAGAGAACTACCTTCATCTTTGACGAATTATTTGAAGACAACTGCGTAAATTCCCTTTCTAGATTTGTGTCCGTAATTTAATTGCACTCTCTTCTCGACCTTAATTTTGTCCTTTACATTACTTCCCAATTGATTAATTTCCTTCAACAGTTTTTTCAAAATCTTTGAATTTATCTTTAGGTAATGACTTTTTCTAGATCCATATTAGTTGTCTACAAATTATACTTCATTTCACAATTCTACTTGATTATTCATTTCTTGCATGCCACGTCAGCTTGGCTGTTCCTCATATTTTATCCATTGCCATTAGCTCACAACACATCATCAATTTCTGCAGATCTTGATCTGCATTAACTTATTACAAAAATCGATAAATCAACAATCAAGAACTGAACTAAGTATATGACCTCCACAACAATACTCACCAACTACATAATATCTTCTGATTGTCCTGAGCAACATGCTGAGTGTACAAGCCGCTAGAGATTGCAGCAGCCCCATCGCCAGGAAAACTAAGTTGAGGCGATGTATTCCTATGGTGCAGACTACATAGGACTGAAAAGAAACAATACTGGAGCACCACAAAGACCTAAGGTCCAACTATACTCACTTTACTAAAATCGGCATACATGAACGCCTGTTCCATTCCTATGAAAAAGGCCAGGGGGGCCGACATTTGCAGTCTTATGTCTCTGAAGCTTTCTTTCACCGCCCGCAGCGCCGCGAAGACCTCTCCCCTCTCCAAAGGGTCCTTAAGAAAAAAAATATGGTACCATTCCATCCACATGAATTTAACTACTTAAAGCACTGTTTGTAACAATGCACTGAGCATTGTATGTTAACACCAACAGGCTGACAAGATTGCTGTTTGACTTCAAAATAAAATCTCCTGTACCTCACCTGATATATCAGCATTTTTATCCTGTCCAGGCCCAGCCCAGCCAAAAGCAAGGCGGCCCCGCAAGCTCCAGCGTACACCCCCGCTAGAATGTCGGCGGATTTTGTCGGAAGCACCTTGAAACCACCGTTTTGGACTGAAGAATTGGTCGAGAAGGTGGAGATCGGGCACGCCTGAGAACCGCAAAGTCTGCCGTCTTCGGTGCGGTCGAAGATGTCTTCCAAGAAGGAGTTGTAGTCGTAGAGATTAGACGAGGAGATGACGACCAGTTGGGTTATGTTCTGGCAATGGGGAAGATTGTAGGAGGAGTTGCTGAAGCAGTCCTGAAACGTCCAAATCGGGTGTATAATACTGACTCGATTACTACAATTTTATCCGCCCCAGAGATTATACACCTGAATGAGGCTTCCAGGTGTATATTCTATGACAGTTAAGAAACAACCTATCTTTAGCAATCATCTTCTATCTCTCATTAAAAGCATATGTTGACAAACGCCCTCTATATGTTCATAGAAGATACTTACATCTGTAACAACTGTGGCATTCTCGTATCCGTATCGTACGTTTCTTAAATTAATTGTATAAGTTATAAGAATCGCAGATAAGACTGATCCCACGATGAGACCAAAATCGTGAGCACCCTGTGAACAATAATAAATTTGAAGATTATTTCATTTAAATAAGTACAACAAAAAATTTAAAAAAATCAATAATATACAAGATGTTCTATTTGAAATGAAATTAAATAATGTTCAAATAAGATAATTTCAATGTCTTGCATTATCGATGTATATTGAAAAACCTACAGCAGGACCCGTCTTAAAAGAAACGCCCTGTATATAAAGTCGAAAAAACAAGCAATATTAACAGTTCTTACTTGAAACGCTCTCGCCACCCTCCTTATTATGCAGGTACGCCTGGCGTGTCTGCTTTCTTCGTCTTCCTCGTGGAACAACCCAGTTACCCTGTGCGAGAGTATCATCAGGAAGGATATATGCGCGCAGGATAACAGTCCTTGGACGATACCCAGCAGTAGAGAAGCGGGGACTGTTACATACAGCGCCGGGTACAGGTGTGATAGGTAGAAGACTATCATGGCACCTGTAACATATTTATGAGGTGGTTTCCATTCTCTTGAATAATAAACTGTAGTTTGACAATAGCTAGTGCCAAAACAATAGGCAGTAGAGTAAGTCAAACCCCAACCACTTATTGACATTTAATAATTTTTGGAACCTCCTAAAATGATACGCCCATGGAATAGCGTTCCCTGCACCATAATACGTCTACATGTTGAGAATGAGACACTGCTAGCCATTTTGTAAATAGAGTATACAATATATTATATATTTGAATATATGTACATTTGTTGAGATTGTGATGACGGTATACTAAACTACATACGATAAAATGAATTGCTGGTTATCTACAGTCAGCCTGAAGTTAGCAAAATGTTATTGTTGCAAAGAAGGTACAGTTATTATTAGTTATAAGAAGGTATTGGATGTCTGCAAGACTTTTTATATACAATTTTTTGTCATAATATCGGAGATTGTATTTAAGGTCAAACTTAACGTATTTATTAAAGTAAAATCTACAAAATAAATTTAGTAAAGCAAATAAGTTTTCTTTAAAAAATTAAATGCGGAAGTAATATTTACGTAAGTTTTTACTGTTAGATTGGGCGTGACTGCTATGTTTTTGTCTCCAAAACGTAGAACCCATATTTACCTTTCCTACTATTTCTACTATTAAAAACTGATGGTTATCAGATTTAAAGGCTTGATCATTACACAAAGTTAATAATTCAATTAAATGCACATAGTTACAGCAAACAAATCACTTATTAATGTCTAAAGAGTCACTTATTTGAAGTAAAAGAAGATATTTGCTTGAATAAAACTCGTCGTCATAGGAAGACAACCTAATAACTGCCAATAAAATTTTTGATACGGTAAAAATTGAACTACAGTTACCCTAATAAGATGATATGATTGCAACAATAAATAAAACCTTAGAAAAAAACATTTTAACAGATAATATAATGCTGTAGTAAAATATACTTTTATTATGATAACGGCGTAACCTTTCTCGAGCCTATTTAAAGCAGATATTTGTTATGGTTAAAATATTTCCCTCAATGTACAGGGTGTCCCAAAGTTCGCGTCTCGGGCCCGTAAAAGACAAACGAAAAACAAGAGTAAAAATCTGTTTAGATAGCGTGAATTAGGATTCGCTAAGGTCCGTTTTAGACTTGAAAAATTCGGAAAATAAAAAATTTGCGTTATCAACTTTTTTTTCCACAAACATACCCATTTTTTATGATAACTAAAATTATCTATTTTTTATGAACATTTTTTGTGCAGAAATTTTTTCTCTATCTCTTCTTAAAAAGTTACAATAACAAACATTATATAAAAATGTATCCTATTGTATTGGAATTAGTCATGATTTAATCAACATTGCTGTGAAAACAATGGCTGAAACTGCTGTCACGAATCTGTTTACATATTAGTTTATGTCAAACGTTGTTGCATGATAAATTGATAAACAAACTATAACTGGTTGCTAAAAATTAAAAAATTTTTGCAAACAATGAAAAAGTTGACATGATTTTAATTCATGGTGAATGTCAAAAAATGCCAGAAGAGCTGCTAACTTATTTCATGAGAGATATCCAGAGCGTCAAGCTGATAATCCAAAAATATTTTCCAGATTGGAACGAATTTTGCGTGCTAACGAACATGCATTTTTATCTAGAAAAGGGAAAGAAATTTCAAAATCAGTATTACAATATTTTCAGGAAAATCCTAGAAATTCTATACGACAGGCCACTTTTGCATTAAATTTAAAAAGAAGTTCTGTGCAAAGAATTTTGAGCTCCAATGGTTACCATGACTATAGGCTAAATAACTTGAAACACTTATCTCACATACATGCTGAAAAAAGACTTATGTAGCCCAAATAATGGTTAATTGGGCAATAGATAATAGACTCTTACAACACGTTCTTTGGGCCGATGAGAGTCCACGAGAAGTTTGGAGCATTTAAAGCAAAAGATTCGACATGTTTGCGAGAATTTTTCAAGAAAAACGTTATTCAAAGCTACAAGGGTAGTTAGGAAAAGATTGGATAAATGCTTAGAAGTAGGAGGCATGCATTTCGAAATTGTTTAAAGTAATAATCATAATTTTATATTTTGTTTTGGTTTTGTTATTAATTATTGTTATATTTATTAGTTACAATTAAAATTGTTTAATTTTTTCTGCATTTGGTTATCCTATTTAACCGTCATTATGTGTATTGTTCTGAGTGACCTTTTTTAAGAAGAATATAGCAACTAATATGTAAACAAATTTGTGACAGGGGTTATAGCGACTGTTTTTCAAAGTAATGTTGATTAAGTCTGACTAGTTCCAATATAGAGAAAAAATTTTTGTACAAAAAATGTTAAAAAAATAGATAATTTTAGTTATCATAAAAATGGGTATGTTCGTGGAAAGAAGTTGATGTCATTAAAAAAAAATTTTTTTCAAGTACAAAACGGACCTTAGAAAGTCCCTATTCACGCCATCTTAACAGAATTTTACTGTCGTTTTTCGTTTGTCTGTTATGGGCCTGAGACGCGAACTTTGGGACACCCTGTACATATAAAGACTATATGTATCTCGTATCAATTTACTGTAGATTGATTAACACATTGAATATTCTTTTTTGCTGTCGATTTTAGGGTTTTTTTCTCGTAGCGACAAAACCCTCCTCTAATAATATGATTATCACAGTTTTTGTCTAAAAATATAAATATTCTTATGAAATTTTAATATCCACCAATTTTTTTTTAAAGCAATCTACCATTCGCAAGATTACCTACTTGGTGCAATTCCCAGAATCGTTCAAGTCATCACATAAACTATTTATATTTCCTTCGTGACATTAAAAAAAATTAATAGTAAATAAGGAGTACGTCATAGGTATAACAGCAACAACTAGCTGTTTCATCGGACAAATAAATCTACTGCACCTGTTATCCTACTAAGAGCGGAAATAACATGTCACCCAAACTGCACAAGTTTACGGAGTGTGACGAATCGCTTTTGTTAATCATAAAATGTTCATACCCAAAGAAATACCACTGAAACTAGATCACAGATCATAATTTTATAGGGATAATATGTTTTTAACCGCAACAAAAGCCTCATATTACAAAAACAAGTTACGTGACACCCAACAGATCAAAAATAACTTGTACTCACCGTAACATACAGCGATGACCATGCTGGCATCAATCCTCTTGAGAACACAGGGAGCTATCAAGGCAAAGACGCTTGCAGTCATGTATCCTCCGGACACAAGTAGCGATCCCACTTTTACATCCACGTTGGATTCGTTCAAAGGATGGTTCCAAACCGAAACGGAGCTCTGCAGGGCCAAGAAGGGCAAATACGCAGCCGAACAGAGCAAGTGGCTGATGCACACCACCACCAGGTTGGCTATGAGGACCTTCTTGGTGTAGACTGGGCCGCCGCTCCTCCCTGGAAGGCAAGGCGGTGAATTTTGAGCTTTAAAAAAATGTCCTAGTCCGCTAGTACTGCTTAATATTTCACTGTTTTAGTGGCACCTTTGCCTGAAGGTATATAAAGACTGCGTAGTCTTGGGGACCGTTTGGAGAAGCATTACCTGCGAAGATCTCAACCAAATGATGCCCAAGAATTCTAGACCTGCTTAGTAATTCATTGTGCAAGCTATTAGCTTCTCCAGAAGATAACAAAAGGCTTTGGATACCATCTTGAAGTGCTTCATATGGAAAACTAATTTCATTCAACCAAGTGGTGCCTTCTAGTCTCGTTTAATATTTCAATCATCGTACTGTCACCTTCTTCAGAAGGCATCCAAAGACTTTGCGTTAGGACTTTGAATACCGTCTGCAGGATCATCACCTAGAATAACCAAACGATGTCCGGGACTCTGGTCTTCCTTAACATTTCACTATTCACGCTATCTGTTTCCCCAGAATGTAGCTAAGGGTTTTGAATACCTTCGGATACCATTTGGAGAAGCATGACTTGAAAACAGCAACTCTTTTCAGCTAAATGGTGCACTAATATTGATTAAACAGACTGTCAGCTTCTTTAGAAGGTAGCCAAAAGTTTTGTGTACCTTTGGAAGTCATCTGTAGAACCCAACTGAAAGAAACCAACTCTACTCAATCAATTACCTGTCTGGCTTCCATGGGGTCCTCCTCGCACCACGGCCAAAAGTCGACGCACCGACGTGGCCCCAATTGAACTGTTCAAGGAATCTCTTCTCTTACTAGTTGCTCCTTGAAGGTTCAGGTTGTACCTGGACCTCGTCGATATAGGGGAGTATGTTGCCATATGCTTGAAACAGTACCGATATAATATTTACTTCAGTTTTAAGTCAAAATTATTGTTACCTCCACCATAAAGTCATCATAGACTATCTTGTTGGAATCCTGTGGGTTACTGCGAGCCTTGTGGATCCTGTTGTGTCCTGAGTACCTGTGAAGGATCTTGGTCTTTTCGTGGGACGAAAGGATGCCATTGCACCCTCCGCAGAGGTGTCCCAAAGCTGGACCTGGAATGTCAAAGATATGCATCCTCGGTGGACAAATTGGAAAGGAAGGTACTTTAATTTACCTCGTTTGTATCCTTGTTCAGTAACATCCTGTCGGCCCAGCTCGTGCAGATTTGGCAGGCTACCCATCTTTCGGTGATTTCAGTAGGTCGCACCATCACATATTAGGACAGCAAGTGAAGAACCTGATTAGTGTGCCTGTCTATTTACTGGACGACGAGAGATGATCTGGATGGTTACTGAAAGGTAACAATGCTTTTTTCCTTCAACCAACACTACCATATATAGGGTGTCCCATTAATATTGCGAAAAAATTCAGGGGAAGTTTCCTTGACCAAAAATAAGAAAGAAAGTTCCCATAAACCAATGTCCGAAAATGTTTCGTTTCCGAGATACAGGGTGTTGAAATTTAGAGAAAATACAAGGTCTTTACTAATATCTGGAGAACCCTAATTCCGATTTTTTTTTAAATTTGGTATGTTTGTTTATAAAAACAAACAAAATAACTAAAACATTGAATTTTTGTTTTCTACTTCCCTTGGAAGATAGAATAGATAAAATAAATCAAATTACGTCAGAAGACGTCTACCGTTTTTATAAACAAACATACCAAATTTAAAAAAAAAATCGGAATTGGGGTTCTCCAGATATTAGTAAAAACCTTGTGTTTTCTCTAAATTTCAACACCCTGTATCTCCGAAACGAAGCATTTTCGGACATAGGTTTATAGGAACTTTCTTTCTTATTTTTGGTCAAGGAAACTCCCCCTGAATTTTTTCGCAATATTAATGGGACACCCTGTATAAAATAATCTATTACCCATCCACATTATCTACCTTTACTATAACTAAAACTACAATAAAACTTCTAAAAGCGATTTAATTTCTTCTGTAAACCACAAAAGTTTCATCGACTGATTTTAATGCGGTTTTAACCTTTAAGGACTTCAGTTGACATTTCCTATTGATCTAATCACAACTCAACGCACATATTGTATTAATTATGTGGTTTCGCTTTGCAATACTGAATAAATTTGTTTAATTACTTTATAACACGAGTTAAATTGATTATTAATAACATGACTTGCATGGCACTTACAAAAATGTAATGGAGATTGGTATTTGCATCTGTATCTATGGTATTTGCCTCGTTTAATTATTACAATTCCAATAATAATTAGATAGGTAACATTTCGCATAATATATCAGGAAATGGAGGGCAAAGTAATAGTTTTATAAATGTGCTTTAATTAAATTACACATTGCTTCTAAAATAATACAGTATATTTTGAACTTTTAAAGCTTCACTGAAGTTCAACAACTTTCAGGAAACTTTCCCCACACTTCATCTAATATGACTTCTACCGGGTAGGAAAGTACCGATGGTCTATCTGAAGTTACGTGAGAGCGATAAAGTAAGCCATAGAAATCCATGTGAGAGACAAGGATGGGTATAGTGAAGGCGTCTAATAGTCACCGCCCATTTCGCCCTGCCACAAATAAGAAGTGGATCTTATTTCACTTCTAGTGTCTACTTTCCTACACGGTATGTGTGACATTTTAGATCCAATACCTTATATCTTGGGTTCTAATGGTTTTTTTTTTCATTTAGACCTCAAATAATACAACAATCTCCAGAAAATATTATATTTACACCATATGAAAGAACGCCATCTAACTCCTCTTTTTTTAATTATTAACAACAATCCACAAAACAACCAACCACTGTTATTTGACTTTAACTGGTAGAATGCTTGTGTAACTAAGCCTTCATAGTAACTTATTAAAAAACAATCGATAAACAATTAGAAAACAACGTACTTGATTTGCATGTGTTTATTATTTTTAAGAGAAGAATTTGCATAAGCGAAAAACAGGGAACATCCACGTGTTGGACACAATCAGGATATCTAGACGTATTTTCTCGTGTCGATAATATTGCAGTTATTAGTATCCACCTGTCCGTATGACTTATTGTTATAAATATTACATGTACGGTAAGTAATATCCGCTTTAATACCGCATTAAATGACACGTATTGAATTCATGAGGTCGATTTGCAAAGTTTTACAAGCGGATTCGATTTCTATATGAATATTCAGTTTTGTCTCCAAGATTGAGGATTTTGTAGCGCGAAAAAAAGGAGGTTTATCTACAACCGTTCAGTAAGTAAAGTTTTTTTGTGGCATATCACTACGTCAAACTATTGTATTCCTTTTCATACCTTACTCTAGTTCGACGTGTTAATTAAGGAATATTGACATAACTGCGTGCATAGAATACCATAAAATACAATGTTTATCACTTTTTTGAACTTTTTTTATGCTTAATTCTAAAAAATAATTAGCGTTGTAAATTTAAAATTCGATAAAATTCATATCGAGCAATGTGACAACGGCGCGGCAGTTAACACGAGGTACTAAGCTGTCCAGCATTACGCAATCTGGAATTGCACCGTGTCTGAGTGTTTTTTATGTACCACTATTTCCTTTTCTTGAGGTGTTTTCCAGCGGGTGCGCGAAAATTGGAGGTGTCGTGCGTTTATCAAAAATGGTGATGGACATTTTGAGCATATGTTGTAATTTATTTTGTACTTGTGCGTTTAAAAATTACTGAATTTTGCTTTTTGTTAAGTCCCTAAATTATTTTTAATACGTATGATTATTTGGACGACATGAATCTTTGGGTACTTTAATTACATATTTTTACAAATTCGTAATTTGATTAAAAGTTAAGTTCCTGTTTTAAGAGATTCATAATTACTAAAATTCGAGCTAAAATTTAAGCATAACACTATCTTCGTACTACAAAATCGATACATTTTATTTTATTTATTTAAAAACTGGAAAACAACTGTCTTGAAATTTACTAAATGTTTCACAATAGTTGTTTACATTTTTGCCGTAGGACAAGCCTACCGCGAGTACACGTGGTTGTGTATCAGCAGGTTAAGCGCTGTTGTCACGTTGTCATGAAACTCCCGAATATTAATACTCGCTGTATTGAAACTGTTAATCTTACTCCCCTGTAATATACAACTTTTTTTGTTCATTTATGATTACTCTGTCTCATGCTGTAGTAATGGTAGTCAAACTTCTTACATCCTGTATAAAATAGTATTACATTCTAGGTAATTTCCATTCCACAAACTGAAGTATTTTCGTCTTATTGCATAGTTATTCACTGATTTTTTACTAATTCCCTTAGTTTGTTTTTTTTAAACAAAACTAAGCTGTTCTCTGAGTGTAAACTTGGCTATCAGTACTAGTCACTACCCAAACAAAAAAGTTGGTAGAACGTTGAAATTTTTTCCCGTCGTCTAGGCAACAATAAGGCAGGGATATTTAAAGGCCTTGTTAGTTAAATATTGTGCAGAATCACGATGTAATCAATATTCATTAGCCTACACCGGAGGCAAACCTGGAGGTGTGTGACATTGTGCCCCAATGCAGGATTTCTAGATTCTGCCCCGGGCATGTCACACCCATTTTTCAATGTCAGGACAATTAGCGTTATACACTAATTGGAGCAGAGACACAGCTTCATTGTGAATGTGTCTTGGTAATGGATGCAGGTGAGCAGGGGCGTAGGCGGAAGGGAATTGTAAAAGTGTAGAGGGAGTAAGTTTCTCTTAAATAAAAAAAAAGTATTTCTAATAAAAGTAAAGAGATAACGGCGTAGCTCCGGACAAAAAAGTTCCCATACAAAACATGTATGTAATAGAGTTAAAAGAAACATTAAAAAATCAATTAATAATTGAGTTACGTTTTAAAATCTCACTGTATAGTTGAGGTTGTTAGGAAGAATGCGTGCATATGGAATAAATAACTATTGTTTTACTTTGCTCTGCCAGTTCTGCTTTGTTTGCCTTGTTTATGCTGCACCAAGTAAATGTAGAAATCTACGAAAACGAATATGAAGAAGAAAAACTTTCTAACGTGGAAAAAAATCGACTTTCGGACCCAGAGGTCAGACATTGTTTTTCACACGTTTTTTGGGTCGCTGAATCCGAATCCGAGGTCCATTTAATCCCATCACCTCAGGATTATTCATAACCTCAAAAAAAAAACGATATTCTGAACAATTGAACCATATAATCTTAAGAGATTAAGACTCAAGTTTCCAACGCTAAATCCAATTAACTAAATCCCATAAACATTTAACCCAATAATATCCCAACCTAATAAGCCCATGAACCAAAAACCTCAATAACCCCATAACCCCATAACCAAGGGAATAAGTCATAGGCAATCTTTATTATTGCAAAACATCACATAGCAGAGGACTCCTTAAAAACCCTAGTACTGAATCGGTGGCATCGACCAACTGCGACATCATATTGCCGAAGTCTGAAATACGATTCGAGAGGACGTGGCAATGTTGCAACGTGTGCAAGCGAATTGTATACGTAGCGCTGAAGCTTGTATGCAAGCAAATGGTGGGTACATCGAACATCTTCTATGAAAATTAGCAGTTCTCAAAAGGTGGCTGCTTGCAATGTTGAGGTAAGTCAGATGTTAAAATTACATTTTACTCAACACAAGTCCGTGTATTTACTTCATTTTGACAACGGACATTTGATATAAGTTCATTAACATCCTGTAGATTAATGTACAATTTTAGGGAACCTAGATTATTCTTCATTACTTAATTTTTGTTTGTTTCGACTAAGTATTTTATTATAAAAGCTGACAACAATCATTTTCAACATCATATGTATTTTTCAAATCAGTAAATTAAATATTCAGACCCAGTTATTTTCCCATCACATAGGCACAGCAATCTACTGTTTCTTAGGCCTTAAAAGCATTAGTCCCTCGACCGGTTACAGGTTCTTCTGCGCCTCTCATCCAAAGGTGACTGGGAATCCCAGTCAACTTTAATTTTTTTTTGTTTACGGTTTCGCGACCCACTCACGAATACGAATCTGTAGCACAGCGACCATAGTAATTATGTAAAATTATTGTAATCGCGAGATTTACGTCGTATTTTGATGAAAAATCTTGTGGTCTTTTAAGGTTGGTTCTCGTGAATTTTAATGAATATACGTTACCGTTTTTTTTTTGCCAATCACTTAGTGGTTACTGGTTATGATATACCAAAATATTTTATTAGCTTTCAAAGCATTTTCTTGGTATTTTATAATGGGTTTCCTGTTATTCAGAAAGTGGAATGGTACTTTTCCTTATTTATACATTCCTTTGTCTTTCACAGACGTATCAGATGACTTGCAAGAACTCGTGTTACGTTAAAATGGAAACCCGGTCGAATATACAGGGTGTTTCAGGATTAAGTCGACAAACTTAGGATATTCCTCATAAAAAAATAGAAAAAAATCAAGTATAAATTTTTTTCCAGTGACGCTTTATTTTCGAAATATAGGGCATTAAAGATTTTTAAAATGACTTCTAAATGAAGAAGGCTATTTAAGCCAAATTTGACATGATACATCTTCTTATAAGATACCATTTTTCCACAGAAGTAGAAATCCTGCAAACAACCAGTGGCGGAGTTATGGGGACTCAGACTCATTGAATTATTAAAAAAAATTAATACGGCAGTACTAAAAATAAAAAAATAATGCTGTTTTTATTTAAAAGTACACAACACAAGTAAATGAAGTGACTACAAACTGCCTGAAAAAATTTAGGAGTATTGTAAAGGTCGTTACGTTGTCGCATTACGACATAGTCACATTAGATGTTAGGTACTTAAATATTTCTATTGCTTTCATCAACATCATTTTTTTTCTAAAAAAACACCCTATATCTCAAAAACAGCATCATTTTTTATTTTCAGTAGGGCCGTATTATTTTTTTTTTATAATTTAATGAGTTCCCATAACTCCGCCACTGGTTGCTTGCGGGACTTCCACTTCTATGGAAAAATGGTATCTTATATGCAGATGTCTCATGCCAAATTTGGCTTAAATAGCCTTCTTCATTTAGTCATTTAAAAAATTCGAATTTTTTAAAAAATCTCTAACGCCCTATATTTCGAAAATGAAACGTCTCTGGAAAAAAAATTATACTTGATTTTTTTCTTATTTTTTTATGAGGAATATCTCCTTAAAGTTTGTCAAATCAATATATTAAATATTCAGACCCAGACTTAATCCTGAAACACCCTGTATATTTTCAAAAATTTGTTATAATT